GATGACTCAAAAAGCCAGAGGCAATGAACAACTACAGTAGAAAGTGAAGCCCTTCAGCAGCATGAGGTGAGTACCCAGCTATGTCATTTAGATATATCAGCCCAGGAGGACTAGCAGGGCACCGTGCACAGGGGAGCGACATATCAGCCAGTGCCCAGAGACAGGTCGAGGCATTTTTCTGCCTGCTGGAAAACAATAGAAGGTCAGAGGGCTACCAAGATACGCCCAGCAGCACGAATGGCATTCCTCAGTGTGGCTGAGAAAATATATCTTGATACCTGTATTGTTTTATGGGAGTCGAGCCCCATTCTGTACAAATAAGATGCTCTACACACAGGATCTGCACATAATAACCAAGGTTGGTGCCATAAATCCAGATGGATGTACGCTGTTAAACACGTTTTACAGTTGCTTATTTCACAGATCATCCGTCTGAATGAACAACCTTAACCTGCCGACGTGCTCAGGCCTACAAAAAAAAACAACCTTTCAAATGACAAGACATGCACATTTTCTGGAACAGGTGATTGTTGTAGGCTGTACATATAGGTGTTCTTTTTCACTGCTCGTATTCACACCATGACTTCATTAAGGATAGCATGTTAGAAACAGATAAACCCTGAGTTAAACAACTTGTCTCTCGTCCAACGCTGCCCCGGCTGGAATCTTGCACAAATAAAGGCCCCAGGATGCCAACCAACAAAGACAGCTCAGACAAGATAATTAGGTCTGTGTACTGTAAATGCGAATGATTGGTACTTAGAGATGGGCGATTTGTCTGCTTGGCCGTTTTCTTAAACATTGTGTCTGCATTAGCTTATCTTAATTAACATGTGATGATACCTCCTAATCCTCCAATTACTGGAGGAACATCTTCTGGAGCATCTGCCGGGCGCTCATTACACAGGTAAGACTCAGTAATACAATTAAAAGCAGCTTAGCATTTTGTAGATTATGTTAGACTGCCACATGCCCCCAAAAAGTCATTTAGCGTAGATGGGAGGGAGAAAATTGTCTGACGTACAGCATGAGAAATTTTCTTAATTAGGCAATAACCATAATGGACATGGAGACACACACACACCAACCATTCTTAAAAATTTACAACTTAACATCATGTCCATACAGTTCTTGTATAAGTATTTGAGAAAGTAAATGCCACTGACTGAAATCTGTAGTCATAATTCATGTTTACAGTCTTAATCATTGCTACATGATGTTGCCAGTCTTTCAGCTTGTACAGACATTTAATTCAAAACATTGTTTAAATCTCAGAGTAGTTGTAGGCACATAACTGAGGAAATAATAAACAAGATGAAGACTGCAGCCATAGCACCTCTGTGAGACTAGTGACTGAATCACTGCAATGTGGCACTAACAACAATCACTTCCAGGTAGACAACTGGCAATTGATCTGAATTGCAGAGAAATGTGAAACCAGCAAACTTGTTTACTTCTGATGTCATTTTCAGCCATAACTGTAACATTTAAAGATGATGGTCCGACCAGCATCTTATGAGCTAAATCCACTGGCACAGAAGCTTAGCAATGTACTGCTGTGGACAGGGGTCACAGTTCTGCTAAGTAAAAAAAATAAGAATTACTATTTTTGTCAGTGGAGTCTGGTGGCCTTGATGTAATAGCTTCAGTTCCTCATTGGAAATCGCTGTGTAATGGCAAGGTAAAGTGGTGAACGAATTCTAAATATAGTGCACTCTCAAAATGATGTTGATTTTTTTAAGTGGGCCTTTTTTTAGGTCACTAAAAACTCAGCAGTTTTGTCATCCTTTGCTCAGCGCCATTTCATGTAGCTACATGATGCAGGGGTTCCTACCTCCAAGTTATTGTTAACAAACATTGTGATTTGGTCTATATTGATTTTGGTCTATACATTACTGACTTTGAGCTAGATGCTAACATTGGCATGCTCACAAGTTCACAATGCTGATGCTAATATGCTGATATTAATAAATATAATTGTTATGATGAGTATCATCTTAGTTCAGTATATTAGCGTGCTAACATTTGCTCTTTGGCATTTTCAGCACTGTGAAGCATCTTTGAGTGTCCCGAAAAGCGCTATATAAATCTGATGAATTATCTTTGGGCCAAAACACAAAGTACAGCTAGTATGATGGAAATGTTATTATTTTTTGTAGGTATTTAGTCATAAACCAACGTGCTGGACACAAAATTTGACCTGATAATGGTGCTAGATGAAAAGTTAAGGGGTTACTGAAATTGTAAGCCTACAATTCATCCTCAGGGAGACTTTTAGTAGTTGGTGAGACATTTCAGTCAAAGCACAAATGTCGATCTCAGGGGATCTCATCATAATGCATCCTCTGGGAACCAGGAATGTCTGTCCAAAATTTTGTCCCAATCCATCTAAATTCTTTTACAGGATAATTTAAAAATTGTACCTTTTGCAGGCAGAGAGAAATGTCAGGGGATCACTAAAGTCATTAGACTTAATCCTCTGTGGGCAATGAACGTCTGTACAAAATTCCATGGCTATTTATTCAATTGTTGTATACAGGGGCAGATTATCAGAAAATGGGCCCCTGTACACACTGGTTCTTTGGGCCCCTGGGCCTGTGCCTGGTAGGCTTGTAATCCTTCCATGGTGGCTGAGATATTTCAGGCCGGCCAAAAGTGGTGGACCATTGGACCAACATTGCTATACAGTGCCTACTCCTAACCCATGCCATGCTACTCAGCTGGTTAAAAAATATATACTGTCAGATTTAGAACTCTATAAACTCCAGAAGCAATGCATTACCCTGGCTCCTAGAACATGCTCACAAAAAAAGAAAAAAGAACACAACAGTAGCAGGTATAAATGTATGCTGGAGGTGCTCTCTCTGAGGCACTGTTGTTTGCTTAAAGCCTGGCCAATAAATCAACTTAAAATATTGGGAGGTCAGTACCAAAACTATATATCTCAGTGTTATTGCCTTGCAATTCTGCCTCCATAACCACTTCGATGTGTCAGAAATTCCTCTCAACGTGAGAAACAAGCCGCCACACTAGAATTATGACCCGGAGGCATTGTGTTGGTTTCAAACATCAAGCTGTCTGCTCAGTCACGGCTGTGTGGGCTCTCTGACCAAATTAAACAGGAAATGGCCCTCTCCGAGCCTCATGGCTGTGAGGGCTTAGCATTAAAAAATGATCTGGGATGACGTGTTGATTTCAATCTGTGTCTGATGAAACTAAGAAGAAATATACTGCCTGCCCCAATGGGAATGCAAAATGAGGCTTTACACCTCTGTGTTTGCAACCTCTTTCCAAACAGTCTGCCACAGGGTGTGTTTTTTGTAATATAAATCATTTACACAGTCTACTTTAGGTTTCCCTTAGGAGCAACAAACCATAGCCCTAATCATGAAAGCATCCTGGCAGGCTTTAAAGGCACAATCCGTGATTCACATTTAAACAACAGGGTCACGCCACTGCCTGAATTTAAAACATGTCGTCACTCTAAGCTATTAATGTTTTCTGATGCGGAAAATATTTGTTCAGTAATACTTGTGAATACAGAAGTAAACTTACAGATGTATAACTGTGGAATATAACATTTAGGTTACTGATTTTTCTTTTATATGAATAACTCCTGACTGCACAACTGGTAACAAAGCTGCCTTAAACAGAAAATTACTTAGTTAAAAATATAACATGCAGGACTGTCTGTTACTGAGAACATCGCCAGCAAAAGTGAAAGCCAGCACCAGATTAATTCTTGTACGTTATATTTGCTTTTTTTTTTTTTTTAGTCTGTGTCCCCAGTTTCATAGCTTCATCTTGGATGTGTGATGCTTATTGTCTGGCAATTAATCGCTATATTTTTTATAAATTCCTGACCTCACCCCTCTCTGCAGGTAAATAAACTGACACACACTTCTAGTGGTTCATTAGGGATGAAGTCAATACATCTGTTTTTTTTTTTTTTAGAAAAATCCTGCATAGTATACCTTTAAAGAAGTATTTCACTGCTGGAAAGATAGTCTTTTCATAAAACTGGGATGTCTATGCAGTGGAAAGACACAAATACTTTTAGAATTGGCACTACATGACCGAAGAAAACAGAGAAAAAGGGCTGTGGCATTTGCTCTTGCTCAAAAGGTAGAAAACCTACAACTACCAGAATGCCCTGCTTTGCACCGGACTTAAACGCTTCCATTGGTGGGTGATGTAATGCGAGTTTGGTTTTTCCACAGGGAACAATATCGCTGTAACAAATGGTCTTGAATTACAGGTAAACAGTGCAGTTGATCAGCACTGCTTAGCGTTGTCTTTCAGAAACTGCTTTTCCAAGCAGAGGAAACAGTATGGTGTGCTATTCTTGCTCACAAATTCTTATATTACAGCCAAACAGTGCACTAAAATATGTCTCTGAAAACATTTTAGGTGATGAAATCTTGGTTTTTATTTGATCATAACTGCCTAATTTTACCATTTGATTACAGTTTTTCAGCCTCTCTTTTTACAATACAGGAAATGGTACCCAGATCTTGTTCACAAATTCTCGTATTACAGTAAAACAGTGCACTAAAATGTTTCTAGAGACATTTTAGGCGAGAAATAGGCAATACAGTAACAGAATTTTGGTATTTATTTAATCAGCACTGCTTAATTTAACATTTTATCTGAGTTTAGTCTGCGTTTGAGAGAGAAAGAAAGAGGGGGGTGGGTCTCTCTTTCAATCCACTTCAATACATTTTGTGTTAATGGTGGGGGTTATGAGTTTGAGCAACAGCTCTAGAGCCAGCAAAAATCCACTGGATGTTTTTTTTAAGCTGAGAGATGAGCAGGGAGAACCAGACACTCATAAGATGAAGGCAAGTTTACCACAGTTCATTTACACACACTACCCACATTGTTATAATAAAAAGCTGGGCAAAAATTGGCAAAATATCCCTTTAAGTTACAGCAGGTAAAGTGATGTGACAGATGTCTGCACAAGCTTTGCAAGTCAAGCCTAATGTAGACAACAGCTGAAAATGACAGACCCCATTCTCAATTTAATAAACTTTAATGGCAACAAATATAACCACAAAACAATTTTCCAGTTCTGCAGCATTATGAAAACAGAATATCATTCCAAAATAAACGCAATAAATCTTTTTGATGAGGACTGAACTGACAAAGCAAGTATATATATATAATATGCAATAAAACAAGGAACATCCATTTATCCGACCAATTAAACACAAACTGAAATCACTCTAACAGGAGTCACATACCGTCAGTGAGATAGCTTCTTGCTTTTAATGTGCTGTTACAAATGTAACTTTATTTACACCACAGGGTAAACACAGTTCTGAGCTCCCAAAGGCAGTTTTTACATTTCCTGGAGAATTATGTCACTCGGCACTATTCCTCGAGCCCTGAGAGTTTTAATAAAATTCAGTACCTTGTGCTCCACCTATTCTCAGAGTTGAAGGAACACACACACACACACACACACACACACACACAAGCATTTTGTTTTAACAGAATAAAGCTAAAACAAATGCTTCACAGTCTAATAAATACAACAAAACAGAAACTGTTTTTTTTTTGTTTTTTTTTTTTTTAAGATTTTCTGGCAAAGCTGCAAAGCCACGATAACACTGCAAAATGTCCCTGACAACAAATACTGCATAAGTTTTTGCTAAATCTAAATATAAAGAAGATGTCAATGAGAATGTGCTACATTCTTCATTTTTTATATATAATAAGTCTGCGCTCTTATTTAATCACGTCCAAGTGTTAATGCAGGGGATATTCTAAGAGCTATACTCAAGGTTGCCTGCTGAGCTTAAGGTTAGCTTCTAATTAGTTGTTTGTCATGCGGGCATGCGGTTTTGCAGCTTGACCAGAAATTAAAAACCGCTCTGAAGCTTCATAGGAGTCATGGAGTATTTTTAGCACGAGGAGTTCAGATCATTATTCATGTATGGTTCTGTTTGAGGATTTATAACAGATTTATGAGATGGATTTATGTGGATTTACAGTATGTAATCACAGGCAGTGGTAACAAATGTGGGAGATTGTTATTCTCAGTATTAGATTTGAATAATAGATTAGTTAAATCTACGTGTGTTTATTTGTATTCTCCTCAAACAAAAGCTCTATTCTGTCTCTACACTAACAGCAATGATTTCACTTGCACATAAAAATTACCCTCTGAGTTAAAACAAATTCCCATTTAACGTGATCATAATAATGTTACTGCATTGGTATCTGAAGCTCCCCGGAAGCCAAACAGGGGTAAACATGATCAAGAAATAATGTTAACACTCAAGCACATTTAATGCACAAATTTCAGACTGTGGATGGAAGTCCAGAGATCATTTAAATACTTATGTATCATACCAGGGTCAGTAAAATGGTTAGCAAAAACATTAAGTCCAAAAATAAGACTTTGTTAGAAAATAAAAAGTAAAAACCTAACTATAAAAACAACTGAGCATTGTTCATGATTCGAAAATATCTTGATATCATATTTTTTATGGTACCACTCCTCAAGTCAAGTGCAAATGATCAAAGGAAGGCAACAGGAGTAAACACACAGGAGTGAGGGAGTGCAGTAGACATGATTCAAATATGGCTCCCGCATTCATTTCTATACTCTCAGAGGCACCAGTGATGTAAAACCATTATTGGTATAAAAACAGGATAAGAGTTGCCAGTTAAAAGCTAAAATAAACATAAATACAAAACATGAAAAGATCATTTGTGACTGACAGAGGTAAACCAAACATCTGTAGGATTTGATTAGTAAATACCTCCTCCACAGGGTCTTTGGGCACTGAGCGATACAACTGGAAAAGGCAGGTACGGTGAGGGGGATATGGGGAGGTGTGTAGGTCAAGAGGAGGTATGTCTCTGCCTTTGGCTTCCTGGTTTGGCCCTCTGCTTGTCATACTTAAAAGAGACAATAAGGAAGACCAGCAAGGTGACGCCCTGGATCCCAGCCAGGAGGAAGAAGTAGTAGTGCAGAGAGCAGTCATTGATATTGCCTGGAAAGAGAGAAAACAAGGACATTACTATAATAGAGTATGTCACACCTTAGCTAAGACTCCAAACAGCTGAGACGCAAGACTGGCATTCAGGTGACGTTTGAAAACTGCGAGCTGCACGGCAAAATGACAAATATGGAAATTTGGAGAACAAAAGTGTCAGTCGCGACATATTCAGAAGGCCGACAGCAGGAGGGTTCTTTTATCACAAAGTGCTGCTACGTGTTGAAAGAATACCAAAGGCAAAGGTAAACGGCCACTAGCTCGCAAGTGTGGCAGGTTGCTGTGTTTTCGGGAGACATAAAAGCCGGGCTTGAAGTGAGCATGGCAGGGAAACGCGATGCTGTCAGGAATTAGGATTCAGCGGAGGGGCTTGTTACTTCTCATCTCACCATGGTGAGACCTTCTGAAAGCGAAGACAGTTGACCCCGGTCCTCTGCGCTGATACACAAAGGCGGTATTGATGATTGGGGGACTGAAGCATCAGAAAAAAACAGAGCAATATGGGCCCTCAGCTGTGATTCGAGCCGGGGAGTCTTTTATCAGTATTAAAGGACGATTTGTTTCCTCGTGGGAATGAAAATGCAATAAAAGCGAGGAAAAAATAAACTGATGCTTCCACTGTGATTTGCTGTGTGACTTCTGCACAGGAGGGAGGGGAAGACATACAAACAGTGCTGAGATTGACACAACTGAGGACATACAGTAAATTTCAAGCCACCCATTTTTTTCCTTCTGGATCTGCAGACTTCAACCAGCAGCCTTTAAACTCTAACTGTCCCAACATTTGCTGTGATTGAAGTGGTCGTCCTCATTCAGCAACAAAGCTCAAGAGGAAAGCTCTGAACAAATTCTGTTTTCGCCCTGCTAGGGTTTTACACCAAGGGCGAAACAAGAACAATTCTCTCCACTGTTCAAGTATGGAGACAATTGAAATGGCATTAGAGCAGCTTTTGTCCTCTTGACCAATGTCAAGCAGACCAATTGACTTTGCAGGCAAACAGCATGAGATGAGGCTGTTTACTACTTTACTGGAGGAGGAGGAGACATTTTGGGGTGAGCTGGCTGTTGAAGGGTGCCTTACACAGAGCAGAGGAGGGATTCTTTTTTCTTTCTACTACAACATATTCAAGACCATGTCTTTTCCTTTATGCAAACGGCTCCATGTCAGGCACAGTTTCACAAGTGGACAGAGATACCTATAGCTTACATCCTACATTATCGTTAAATGAGTAAATGTGAAGCCCTGGAGCAATCCTCGGAAAGCTCCCATTAGCTTCTCCATGTGGAGCTGTCACACCGGATAAAGAGCCAGAGAAAGAGAAATAGGCTTGATTTTAATTATATATGGGAGCAATTCTCATTTCAAGTTCTGCCTATTCACATGGCAGTAAATGTGTGTGCGTGTGTGTATGCACATATTCAAGTACAGCCTTATTACACATGTCAATTTAAAGTCAACAGCCCCCTGGGTCAAGATGATGCTTACGGACCAATAGGACTGAATCATTTTGTAATAAAGTCATCGTGATGCAGGTACACCACGATGTACTGTTTTTCTGCAGTTCCTAAAACTTGTTAAGACTTTACTTTTGGAGGGAAAACACAGCACAGTTGAGGTACTGAAACAAACCAGGGCTTGAACAGCTGAATGTGTTGTACACAAACCCTTTTAGAAAGAAGTGCAAAGCGGTAGGTCCCGGGGGCACGAACTGTGTGGGTGTCTCCAAGCGCACCTGCTATTTTGGTTCATGTATGTGCAGCAGCGCAAAGTGCACAAGGGGCTGGCTGAAGTTCAATATAGATCAGAGGGTGTGGTGATTAATAAATACACTCTCAGCCAGTCATATCGCTGGTCTTATCGCTCTGAAACAGCTGTTCCAATCACAGTGACGCATGATATCAATAGCTCAACAAATGGAAAGACGCTTCTCCAGGAAATCTTGCTGTTGCCTGGATGGTGCAGAGCAGCACACAGGACCAAACATCTGCAGTCAGAAGCAGGTGGTGTGGGTTTTTTTAACAGTGAAATTAGCACAATGAGGATTAATTTTTATAATTACAAAGCTTATATCATCATAAAAGATGGTGAAGCAGCTCATATGATCATCAATCCTCACTATTTCAGTCACTATATTTCACGTTGTAGATGGTTACTTTGCATCTTGAAGCAACTACAAGGAGTTTTTAACTGATTATGGAAAAGTCTCCATTAAATACTAATGCCTCTATGTAACCTACATAAGCATTAACATTAACATCCCTGGGTCTACCTCCTCTGTGGTAGTATAGGTAAGGTAAAGGAGGTTGTTCGGTTAGTGCAGGGAGCAGTGAGACCTGGCATTAGGGGAGTGTCTCTGGGACGCCAGAGATCACTGTCTAGCCTCCTGGAGGTGTCGTGGGACTAACTAGACGAAACACCGGTGAAAGGAGGTTCCCACCCAATGACCCCAAAGACATGTTAGTTATCACTGCTCACGGGTCTGTATAGTTAAGCCTTGCCATAATAGCTTATCGTAGGGCTTAGGAGGATTATTCACTGAGTGCTGATCCCTTTTTTTTTTTTTTTATTAGAGCACAAACTTCTTGTGTTTATTTGAATACATTGGTCGATTATTCAATAGATAGAGAGAATTGCAGGAATTTCAAGGATTCAAAACTGATTCTAAATCTGCCTCCTAGACAGGTATGCAATATATCTATTTTATTCATTAAATACATCACAAGATGTGCTTTTACACCAATATCTAAATTTATGTTGGAGGCAAAATACAGTTATTAATCTTACCTAGCCACAAACAAATACATTACCTCATTGCTATGCATTCTGCAAACAGCTGTTTATATTAAAAAAAAGCATTAAAAAGAAGGTGATACTGTCTTTCTCTTGCTTCTGAAACAAATGCATGCGTTAGCCAGATTCACATCTGGTGTTACTCGTGGAAACACTACCACCTTTGACCACAGAGGCTGCCAAAATCAACACAAAATGAGGGTTCCTTGCAGTTGCTTTAAAATGTTGCACAGCACAGCTTTGTAATGGTGGTCACTGTGCCACCAAGAAAATAGGCTCCTGAACGTATGCAGATGTTTAGCGGGTTTAATGTGTACTATGCTCAGCAACTTAGCTAAATGTGTTAGCATGACAACATTTTACATTTTCTTGGACAGAAAAACTATCCTTTAAAGTAAACCTTCTTTTTAACCCAAACAAATATCAATATATTAAGCCAAAATAAATATTCAGTTGTTATTATTACTGAAAACTTAATTCTCCATATACTATGTTGAATTGTTTGTTTGTCCATAGACAATTATTGGCATGTTTAGCTGACTTCTGTGCACTGACTAAAACACTGTTTTGGTTACACTAGCAATTAACTAGAATTAGTTTAATGGAAAAGAACTAACTGAACTTCATGTGCATTTCCCCTATAATTGATACCAAATTAAAGAGTTATTTCCAGAAAACGTCTCAGGAAATCATTTAAAAATTATAAAGCAGCAAAAAAAAATTGTTTCTAAATTTTGACAAGCTGGTGGAGGAGAAGTGGAGGGACCTTCAAAGTATTAAGGATTCATCCTCTATGAATGATAGATGTCTCTGCAAAATTTCATGTCATCAATCTATTAGTTGTTGAGATATTTCAGTCTCGACCGACCAGTGTTGGCATCCTAAGGTTATATTACTGACCCTAATCTACGAATTAAATAAGAGGTCAAGGGGAACCGAGGCCAAATATTGTTCCTTCATAGTGTAAAGTGCGATGATACTCTATAAATATCTGGCCATATGCCAAAACATTACATATAAACTTAACTAAATTAGACTCCGTAATGCTAATGTAACTGCTGTCATTAAAACATGCCAGTGTTTCACACCAAAGGCCTGTATAACATCCAACTCACTGCAGTAGTGTCAGCAGTGTCACAACGTATCTCCAACTATCATAGAAACCTTCATGTTCTTGTGCATGATTTAACAGGGCGTCCTCTGCTGCTGATCAAAGAGCAGGATTAAGTCATTTGAAACAAGGGATCCCGGTGCTTTGCATGATCACTTGCAATCAGTAGAGCAGATCACACTCTGTAAAGTTACCACATGTACCGTGCATATAAATAATTCTTTTTTCAGTCTCTTCTGTTGTGCGCATGGTCTTGTGAATTAGAAATCGAGGAGAATAAAGAAACACCATCCTGTTCACTGGGCCATCTCTATAGCTTGAAACCTTTGATCTCAAAACAGAGAGCTGGCTGATGACTGTGAACTTCTGCCAGAGCACTAATGAAATGAGTGGCAAATGGAAAACCTGATACTTTGACCTCCGTCGCGGTTTTAACTAATTTTGTTGTCGTCTTAATCTGGTCAAAAGTTTAAATTGTGAGAAAAAAAAAAATCAAGAACCAAAGCAGTGTTTGAATAATTCATGAAGTGCAAAACAATGTGCTTGACAGGAGAGCATGGGAGGAAAAGGGAAGTGCATTTGCAGCGAGGGTGCTTGTATTTTCAATCGATAATTCCCCTTAACAGATAGTAAACCAAGAGTCTGCCTCTGCAGTCTTAATTAACAGAGCAGTATCGCTTACAAAAAAACAAGGAACGCAGCATACAAATTATGTCGAGGGAATATCCAGAGCATTTAGTAAAATATGATCTGTTTAAAGCAGAAAATGGACAGTATGAAAATAAGTGCAGGATTTAGAGCAACAACAACACTCTGAGTTTGCTCTCAAGCAGGCACTTAAAGTCAGCATGAGGCATGTAACAAATCCTGATTTTAGGGCATTTTTCCTCCTCTGCTGAAGAAAATGTTGTTACCGCAGCCTTAGGATTATTCTGACCGATGACTTGATCTCAACCTTTGTTTCTGATTTAAAAACTTCTCTTAACTAGGACCCACGGATTACAAAAACAGGGCTGGCAAAAAAAGAAACATCTAGTTTTTTAGAACAGTCTGGGAAATTGTGCAAGGTTTCAGTTTTGTAATGGTTCTTGCTCT